GCGTATTGGCGCAGGCATCGATCAACTACAGAATCGCTTGTCTAGCACACTTAAGTAAGTAACTGTCTTTTACACCACCCATACGTCTGACAACGAGCTGAGGAACCAGTCTCGAGAATTTAACATAACAAACGTGGTTTCTTTTCCAAAGCATTTGACATCCTTTGAACTAAATTTCAAAGGATGCCCGTTTTCACTCTTTTCTAATAAATATACGGACAATAAACCAGAAACGACCTACGCACTCTCCCTCCCCTGTCTTTGTCGCTGTGCGACAACATGCGGGAGTCCTGCATTGAGTTCCAGAGCCCGACGGGACGAACATGCTCCGCAAACCCATCGGCGAAGGCAATTCTAACATATAGATGAGGTGTAATAGTGAGGCGGAGGGGGTGGGGAGAAAAAGGTCTGAGAGTAGGGACAGGGGGAGAAGCAGTAGGACAGGCGGAAAAGGAAAATAGGAAGGCAGAGCTGAAGAAGAGGCGGAAGAGCGAAAATTAGAGAAAGGCCACTATTAGAGGAAGACATTAGGAGATTGAGGAGGAGAAATATGGTTAAGAAAATGTATGACGAGAGAAGGCAGGGGGAAGATGCGACAATGGGAATATTCCCTTACCCCCCCCCCGGTAATACAGGCGGCTTTGCGCAAAATTCCAGAAAGGGTAAATATTCCCGTGCCGCCATCCTAACTCTAAGACCTTAATCTCCCTAAAATGAGCACAGAGAGAGAAAATATGCTCTGTGAATGTAACCTTTTCTGGTCCTGAAAACAAAACGAGAACTACGGGGAATTCTATAAATTATATTTTCACGGGAGGGCTCTAATCCAAGTAAAGAATAATAAATTACTTCAGATGAACAGAGACTAACCCGGCAAAAATAAGGGTGCTCTTGCTAAACTATCAGAAAACTAGGGATGCTTACAACTGGGCAGATAATTGGGCGAACTTCAGTCCGGCTAAGACAGTTCGAGCACAATGCAGAAAAACAGCAGGAATAGGGAAAGTTAGACCCTTCGATTCTCAAAAATTGATGAAAACAGGGGCAGAGGACTGCGTGATCTAACCGGACATTCTGAAAAAAGCCTGCTAAAGCATAAAACCATTCGCACATCAAACAATACAAATCTCATGAGACCTATACGCAGGCTAACCCACCGAGGTGTTGAAAGACCCTGTTACCTACAAAAATTCATCGGCAAATCACAACTGATAACGGAGGATGTTAGTACACAGCATTACGAAGCATCATCCATCCAGGGGGAATTCGAATTCGGAAAGTCCACTAAAATAGGCTAGTAAAACCCTCTAGTGGAGTAATCAAACAGCAAGATACGTGGTTGTGTTTTAACGGTTACTATAAAGGACCTACAAACGGCTGTGCTGTCAAAAAACAAAGCCTCTATGACACCAGGAAGTAGGGAAAACAAACGAAAGAGGGTTTTATTTTGCTCACCTGAAGAGTTGCGGAGACAAGACGAAAGAGGGG